AGTTGTTTAATTTTTTGATTTTTCAGGTTTTTGATTTTTCAAATTTTCGATTTGTTTTTTAAGGTTTCTATTTTTCGACTTCACTTATTTGATTTTTCAATATTTCAATTCTTCGGCTTTTCTATTTTTGACTTCTGGATTTTTCGATGTATCTACCTTATTACTTTTTCGATTTTTCAATTTTTGGATTTTTAAATTTTAGATTTTCCAATCTTTTGATATTTTAATTTTTCAATATTTCTTAATCTTTCGATTTTTCAACTTCCTGGTTTTATATGTATGCTCTGTTTTTCAATTTTTCGATTTGTTAATTTTTCATTCCCGATTTATCGAGATTTGATTGTTCAGGTTTTCGATTTATCAGTTTTTCAATTTTTTATTTTGGCCTATTTCGGTTTTCAGTTTTTCCAGTTTTCCATTTTTTCGTTTTTTGATTTTTCCGTTTTTCCAATTTTTCAACTTTTAACTTTTTGTTTGTCGATTTCACTATTTTTCGATTTTTCGACTTCATCACTTTTCGATCTCTCGTTCTTTTGATCTTTCAGTTTTTCCATTTTTCATTTTTTCGAATTTTTAATTTTTTTGAATTCTCAATTTATCGAGATTTTGATTTTTCGATATTTTAATTGTCAATGTCTCCATTTATAAATTGTTCAATTTTTAACTTTTCGATTTTGGCCTATTTCGATTTCTCAATTGTTCGACTTTTCGACTCCACGATTTCTTAATCTTTTGATTTTTCGATTTCTCGGTTTTTCGATTTACCAGTTTTTCGACTTTTCGGTTTTTAAATCTTAATTTAAGATTTCAGAATTTAACATTTTTTTGATTTTCTGATTTTTCGATTTTCAGTTGTTCGATATTTCGATTTTTCAATGTTTCGGTTTTACGATTTTTTAAGGTTTCGATTTTTCAGTCTCTCTATTTTTCAATTTTTCGAATTTTTAAGTTTTTTGATTTCTCGATTTACCGAGATTGGGATTTTTCGATGTTTTGATTGTCAATTTCTCGATTTATAATTTCCTCAATTTTTAACTTTTCGATTTTTCGATTTTGGCCTATTTCGGTTTCTCAATTGTTCGACTTTTCGACTCCACGATTTCTTGATCTTTTGGTTTTGAAATTGAAAAATTTAGAAATCGAGAAGATGAAAAATCGAAACGTCGAAACGTCGAAAAATGAAAATATCAAAAAATTGAAGAATCGAAATATTGAAAAATCCCAAAACTGAAATCGAAACATCGAAAAATCGGTAAACTGGAAAAAAGTCTAGAAATTGGAAAATGGAAGAACGGAAATTTTGAAAAATTCCAAAACTGAAATATCGAAGAACTGAAAAATTCCAAAACTGAAACATCTATATTTCGATTTTTCGACTTCATCACTTTTCGATTTCTCGTTCTTTTGATCTTTCAGTCCCTCCATTTTTCAATTTTTCGAATTTTTGAGTTTTTTGATTTCTCGATTTATCGAGATTTGGATTTTTCGATATTTTGATTGTCAATTTCTCGATTTATAAATTGTTCAATTTTTAACTTTTTGATTTTTCGATTTTGGCCTATTTCGGTTTCTCAATTGTTCGGCTTTTCGACTCCACGATTTCTTGATCTTTCGATTTTTCGATTTCTCGGTTTTTCGATTTTCCAGTCTTTCGATTTATCCGATTTTTTAAATTTGGGGGTTTCGATTTCTCGATTTTTCATTATTCGGTTTTTAAATTTTTGATTTTTGAATTTTACATTTTTTCAATTTTCTGATGTTTCATTTTTCGATTTTCAGCTCTTCGATATTACGATTTTTCAATGTTTTGATTTTTCTATTATTATTGATATCTCGATTTTTCGAATTTTCGATTATTTTTATTTTTAATTTTTTTTCTCACTGTTAATATCATACAAAAATTGTCACAAAACATTTAAAAATTCATACAAAATAGAACACAGTGTTTCCAAAATATTTTCCCGAAAAAAATCCATTGGGTTACTACGATTTCAACCCGCCCTATCTCTATTGTGATGATTTTTTTTATTCTCCATGAAGCAAGAGGGCGAAGCTTAACTGCAAATCCTTATTTCTATACGAAAAATAAAAAACATGTTTTAAGTTTCATGTTGGGAAAAGAAGTCTATAGATATTAAAAACAAAAAACCCAAATTTAGGCCCGCCCACCCACCCAATCTCAATTGTGATGATTTTTTTAACTGCGAAATACTTATTTCTTTATAAGAAATTAAAAACATGTGTTTGAGTATCCACTTGTTCAAATAATACTATGTATAATAAAGTCACAATGTAAAAAAAGTTTTCGATATCTCGATTTTCAACATTGCAATTTTGGTAATTTTTAAATTGCTGATTTTTCAAATTTTCGATATTTTAAATTCTAGATTTTTGGATTTTTAAAATGTTTGATTTTCGATATTTTAATTTTTCGATATATATTTAAGATTTTAGCCTTTCTGATTTCTTCATTTTTCAGTTCTTCAATTTAACACTTTTTAATTTTAAGTTTTTCAGTTTTTTGTTGTTTCTATTTCTCGGTTTTTGGACTTCTCGGTTTTAGAGTTTTAAAATTTTTGATTTTTCGATTTTTCAATTTCCCGATTTATCGAGATTTCGACGTTACGAATTTTCGATTGTTCAATTTTTCGTATGGACTACTTAGATTTCTCGACTTCTCAATCTTTTCATGTCTCAATTCTTCAATTAATAGATTTTTCGATGTCTCGGTTTTTCGATTTTTAGATTTTAGAGTTTTCCAATTTTTCGATGTCTAGGTTTCTCGATTTTTCGGATTCTCCATTTTTAAATTTTAGGATTAAGCTCCACCCCTCGGCTTACGACGAATAAAAAAAAAATCGCCAGAATAGAGACAGTGCGGGTGGGCGGGGCTTATATTTTGCCTTGTTTTTTTCTTAATCTACACAGCCATCTTTTCAGAACAAGAAACTTCTAGTAGGTACATTTTTACGAGGAAATATGAATTTTGCAATTATGGGGCCAGCTTTATTGCAAAATCGATATTTCCTTATACAAATTTTCCATTTTAAACATGTTTTCAGTTACTTGTTGTCGAAATAAGTCTACACATATTAAGAAAAACAAAGGTAAATGTAGCCCCGCCCACCCGCCCTGTCTCAATTGTGATGATTTTTTTATTCGTCGTGAGCCAAGAGGGCGGAGCTTAACTGCAAAATCCGTATTTCTCCACGAGAAATTAAAAACATGTGTTCGAGTATCGTGTTGTTCAAAGGATAATATGTATACTAAGAAATAAAGTCACAATATAAAAAAAGTTTTCGATATCTCAATTTTTCAACATTTCAATTTTGGGAATCTTTAAATTGCTTGATTTTTCAAATTTTCGATTTTAAAAATGTTTGATTTTGGATTCTTCACAGTTTTTCGATAATTTTTCATATATATTTTTAGACTTTAACCTTTTCGATTTCTCCATTTCTCAGTTCTTCAATTTTACCACTTTTCAATTTTTCGATATTTTTAATTTTACGTTTTTCAGGTTTTTGTTGTTTCTATTTCTCGAATTTTGGACTTCTCGGTTTTAGTGTTTTCTGTTTTCAAATTTTCGATTTTTCAATTTCCCGATTTATCGAGATTTCGACGTTTCGAATTTTAGATTGTTCAATTTTTCGTATGGGCTATTTCGATTTCTCGACTTCTCAAACTTTTCATGTTTCGATTTTTCGATGTCTCAATTTTTCGAATTCTCGATTTTAGAGTTTTCCAATTTTTCGATGCCTAGGTTTCTCGATTTTTCGGCTTCTCCATTTTTAGATTTTGGGATTTTAGGATTAAACTCCACCCTTCGCCTTACGACCAATAAAAAAACGCCAGAATAGACACAGGGCGGGTGGGCGGGGCTTATATTTTGAATTTTTTTTTCTTAATCTACATAGCCATCTTTTCATACCAAGAAACTTATGGTACATTTTTACACGAAATATGGATTCTGAAATTATGGGGCGGAGCTTGATTGCAAAATCGATATTTCCTTATACAAATTTTCCATTTTAAACATGTTTTCAGTTACTTGTACAAATAAGTCTACACATATTAAGAAAAACAAAGGCAAAATGTAGCCCCCCCACCCACCCTGTCTCTATTGTGATGATTTTTCTATTCGTCGTGAGCCAAGAGGGCGGAGCTTAACTGCAAAATCCATATTTCTGTACAAGACATTAAAAACATAGGTATCGTGTTGTTCAAAGGATACCATGTATACTAAGAAATAAAGTCACAATATAAAAAAGTTTTCGATATCTCGATCTTTCAACATTTCAATTTTGGGAATTCTTAAATTGCTGGATTTTTAAAATGTTTGATTTTGGATTCTTCAGTTTTTCGACATTTTAATTTTTCGATATATATTTTAGATTTTAACCTTTTCGATTTCTCTATTTTTCAGTTTTCAGTTTTACCACTTTTCAATTTAAGACGTTTTGCTAGTATAAAACACAAATAAAGAATTAATTCTTAGTTAAACAAAATATGTAAAATCATCTAAATATGTACCAAAAATATTCGCTTAGTCGTTATAAAAACCGACCAAACAACTATTTCCGCAGAAAACATAGTACAAACCAACTAAATTGCCTCTGAACGCTTAGAGTCTACATTGGCCTGAACGCGCTCTGGTCTGTAGATCAAACGAGTTCTCAGGCGACGAGTTGTAGTGAAAAAAGTTTTTTTATTGGCATCGACTATTTAAATTTGGCGCTTGTCTTTGGCGGGTGAGAACTCCAATGTCAATAAGGGTGGTTTTGCAAAATCAGCCTGTATGTCGCATCTATATTAATCTATGGGATTACCATGTGGACAAGCTCTGAGTTGGTAAAATTCACCAAAGCATTTCCGGTAACCTTAAAACGTTCGCAAGATTTTTTACAAAAATCTAGATAGCTAGGGTAAAAATCCAACACGGATTCATAAACTACAACATGAACTACCGATTAGTTAACTTTGGTATTTCTCCTTTTCAGATCGCCGGTCCAGTTGACACTCCCACCATGATAATAATGGACAGCGTCGTCATCCCCCGCCCTCCCGCCTTGCCCCCCATGCCCCTGGTCCCTCCCATCGGCGCCCCCCTGGCCGCCAAGCCCAAAAACCCCAGCATCCACAGCCGCAGCAGCACCAACTCCCAAGGCTTCAGGCTAATGGAGGACCAAGGCGACACCGGAAGCGTCTACTCCATCTACAAGCAAAAAATAGACTCCATGTTCGAAAGCGACTCCAGTTCCAACACCAAGAACAGCGTGCAAGCACGCATAGAGAAGATGTTCACGGACGTGGCCAAGGACACCGGAGTGGCCCTCTCTGACGGGAGCGTCCACTCTTTTTCCGTGGACTATCTGGGTTCCGTCGGTCTGACCGAAAAAGTGACCAGCTTGGCGGGGTTGCAGACCCCCCTCAAGGACTTGTACTTCGCCTACAAGAAGACCACTAAGGCGAAGAAAGCTCTGACGGGAAGGCTGGAGATCTCGAGTCATGGGTTGAAGGTGCAGTACCAAGGGGAGAAGGGTGATCTGGAGCAGCTGAATTCCTTTCCGACTATTGCGGTTTGGTCGGCTGTGAAATTTGTGATACAGGAGAGTCAGAAGGTGAAGACGTATGCGTTTTTGCCGCTGATTACGGATCCTGATAATATTGACAAGAAGGCGTTGTTTAGGGAGTTGAGTGATAACGAAAGGAAGTATATTACCAAGGAGGCGCATTCACCATTGTTTGCGGTTGTGATGAGGAAGATTGGGATTCAGAAGCAACTGGAATGTCACGGGTAAGTGGGAAATGGGGATTTTTATCAACTAATAATAATTATTTCTCAAGTCTTCTAAGCGTAAAGTTGCGTCATTTAGCGACTTGGCTGCAATTTACTAATTGACATTTACAAATACGGAACAAAATTATGCAAATTATTGTTGTGGAAAAAGGATAATGCAATTGCGCGATGCAATTTTTGTCACTATGAAAGATCTTAATTAATAGGCGCTGAAATGTATTAGAAACGGTGGTATTTAGATACATTTTATTGTAAAATTTACTTCTATAACTAATTTTATTTAAAAATAATTCGCTTTCTTGTTTTATAATTTCATTACAGTATCTCGATAGTTTATAAAAAATTTAAACACAATGTACAGACTTCTTTTCCAAGATTTTAATAAATTCTTATTTTCGGACGACAGATGAATAACACATGCAAAGAATATAAAAACGCATAAAGCTGTTGGTGTTATCAGTTTCTTAGGCCAGTTGAGTAAGTTATGCTGTTCACTAAATTATGTTGACATTAAGTGACAAATACCGTTTTAGCGAAATAAAAAGATTGCAAGCAAACAAAATTTAAACGGACAGATGTGAAAAAAAAAATTGATGTTATACAAGGTGTGCAAAAATAAAATTATATATATATAAAAGTTTGGCAAAAAAATTCTAGTTAAAATTATAACTAGAACTATTAGAAATCAAAAATCGAAAAACTGAGAATTCAAAAAATTTAAAAATCGAAAAATAAAAAAATGGTAAATTTTGAAAATCGAAGAAAAAAATGAAAACAATGCAAATTTTAAAATTGAAGAATCAAAAAAAAACGAAATACTTAGTACAAAACGAAAACTTTGAAAAATGTAAAAATTGGAAAATACGAAAAATTGGAAAATAGGAACTTGAAAAACTGTAAAAACGAAAAATTGAAACATCGAAAGACTGAAAATTGAGAAACTTAAAAATCGAAGATGTGCAAAATGGAAAAACGAAATATTAAAACAAGAAATCCGAAATACGAATAATTGAGAAATCCAAAAAGTGCAAAATTGAGTAATTTTAATCGATAATTTAAAAAATCGATAAATTGAAATAGGAAAAAATTTAAAAATCGAGATCTCGAGAAGATGGAAAATCAAAACGTCGAAAAATCGAAAAATGAAAAAATCAAAAAATTGAAGAATCGGAATATTGAAAAATCCCAAAACTGAAATCGAAACATCGAAAAATCCATAAACTGGAAAATCGAAAAATCAGAGAACAATCAAAGAATCCAAAAATTTAAACATCACAAAACTGAAACATCGAAAAATTGAGAACTCGAAAAATTGAAAAGTCAAGAAATTGGAAAATGGAAGAACCGAAATTTTGCAAAATTCCAAAACTGAAATATCGAAAAATTGAAAAATTCCAAAACTGAAACATCGAAAAATTGAGAAGTCGAAAAATTGAATGATTAAAAGCTTGAAAAATCTAAAAATGGGAAATCGAGAAGTTAAAAAACTGAAAAATCGATTAATTGGAAGATTGAAAACTCGAAAAATCGAAGAAGAAAAAAAGAAGAAAAAGAATGGAAAAATTGAAAAATCCCAAAACTGAATAGCGAAAAATTGAAAAATTTACTCGAAAATCGATAGGAAATTCGAAAAATCTAATAATCGGAAAGACGAAAAATCGAGAAATCGAAAAGTCGACAAATCGATTAGTCGAGAAACCAAGAAATGGAAAAATCGAAAAATTGAAAAATCCCCAAACTGAAACATTGAAGAACTAAAAATCAAAAGTTTGGGTATTCAAAAAATTGAAAAATCGAAAAATAGAAAAGGGAGAATTTTAAAATCAAAGAAAAAAATTAAAACATTGCAAAATTGTAAAATTGAAAAATCAAAAAGAAAAAACGAAATACTTAGTACAGAACGACAGCTTTGAAAAATGTAAAAATTGGAAAATACGAAAAGTTGGAAAATAGGAACTTGAAAAACTGTAACAACGAAAAATTGAAAAATCGAAAGATTGAAAATTGAAAAACTTAAAAATCGAAGAACTGCAAAATGAAAAAACGAAATATTAAAACAAGAAATCCGAAATACGAATAATTGAGAAATCCAAAAAGTGCAAAATTGAGTAGTTTTAATCGATAATTTAAAAAATCCATAAATTGAAAAAGGAAAAAATTACAAAATCGAGATCTCGAGAAGATGAAAAATCAAAACGTCGAAAAGTCGAAAAATCGAAAAATGAAAAAATCAAAAAATTGAATCGGAATATTGAAAAATTCAAAAACTGAAATCGAAACATCGAAAAATCGATAAACTGGAAAATCGAAAAATCAGAGTACAATTAAAGAATCCAAAAATTTAAACATCACAAAACTGAAACATCGAAAAATTGAGAAGTCGGAAAATTGAAAAGTCAAAAAATCGATAAATTGAATAACTGGAAAATCGAAAAGTCAAGAAATTGGGAAAATTCTAAAACTGAAATATCGGAAAATTGAAAAATTCCAAAACTGAAATATCTAAAAATTGAGAAGTCGAAGAATTGAATAATTCAAAACTTGAAAAATCTAAAAATGAGAAATTTAGAATTAGAAAAACTGAAAAATCGATTAATCGGAAGATTGAAAACACAAAAAATTCCAAAAATCTAAAAATCGGAAAGCCGAAAAATCGGGAAATCGGAAAGTCGACAAATCGATTAGTCGAGAAACCAAGAAATGGAAAAATCGACAACATAAAAAATCGATAAACTAAAATGTTGAATAATTTAAAAATCCAGAAACTGTAAAATTCCCAAAGTCGAAATATTGAAAAATTGAGAAATCGAAGAATCGAAAACTCAAAAAATTTAAACACCGAAAAGCCGAGATGTGGAGAACTCGAATAGTTGAAAATCGAAAAATTGAAATATTAAAAAAAAAAAAATTAAAATAGGAAATTGAAATATCAAAAAAATCGTTAAATAGAAAAGTGTAACATTTAAAAAATTGAAAAACTGAAAAATCGAGAAATTAAAAAATCCCTAATTGAAATGTCGAAAAATTGGGAAATCGAAACGTTTAAAAACGAAAAGTCAAAAAATTGAAAAATAAAAACGTAAAGAACTGAAAATCGAAAAATTGAGAAATCGACAAATATGAAATCTAAAAACTGAAAAATTAAAATATCGAAAAATTGATGAATCGAAAAATCGAACCGAAATATTGAAAAATCCCAAAATTGAAATTTCAAAAATTGAAAAATTCCCGAACTTGAAATGTGCAAAAACTGAGAAATCGAAAAAGTGAAAAATTGAGAAATCGAGAAATCTAAATGTGGAAAAAGTTTAAACCGAAAAATCAAGATGTCGAGAATCGAAAAATTGAAAATTTGAGAAATTGAGATATTAAAAAATTTAAGAAACGAGAAACTGAAACATCAAAAAATTGTAAAATCGAAAAATGTAACTTTTCAAAAATCGAAAAACTGAAAAATCGAGAATATGAAAAATCTCTAATTGAAATGTTGAAAAATTGGGAAATTCCAAAACCGAAAGATCGAAAAATTGAGAGACCGAAGAATTGAATAAACAAAAACTTGAAAAATCTAAAAATGAGAAATCAGGAATTTGGTAAATCGAGGAACTGAAAAGGTGAAAAACTAAAAAATCGATTGATCGGGTTATTGAAAACTCGAAAAATCTAAAAATCGGAAAGCCAAAAATCAAGAAATTGAAAAGTCGATAAATCGATTAGTCGAAATATCAAAAAATGGAAAAAAAACTTGAAAAATCGATAAATTAAAATGTCGAATTTACAAATCCAGATATTGAAAAATTCCCAAGGTAGAAATATTGAAAAACTGAGAAATCGAGGAATCCAAAACTCGAAAAAGTTTAAAAACCGAAAAAGCTGAAATGTCGAAAAGTCGAAAAAACGAAAAATTGAATCGAAATATTGAAAAACCCCAAAGGTGAAAAATTCCAAAACTGAAACATTGCAAAATTGAGCAATCGAAGAAATGCAAAATCAAAACATTGAAAATGTCGAAAAATGGAAAATCAAAAAATCGAAAAATTGAAAAATTCAAAAACCTGAAAAATCGAAAAATTGAAGAATCTAAAAACGAGAAATCGAAAAGTTTGTAAATCGCGGGATCGAAAAGTCGAAAAACTGAAAAATCGATTAATTGGGAGATTGAAAGCTCGCACAATCGCAGAAAAATTTAAGAATCGAAAATTTGAGGAATCGCAAAACTGAATATCGAAAGATTCAGAAATAGAAAAAGTGAAAAATTAAGTTTTGGATTTTTCAATTTTTTGATTTTTCGAAAATCGAAAAAACTAAAAATTGAAAAATCGAAAAATTGAGGAAACGAGAAACTGAAAAGGCGTGAAATCGAAAAACCGGAACTTGGAAGTGTCGAAAAATCCAGAAATAGATCGAAAAATATAAAAATCGGAAAGTCGAAAAGTTGACAATTTAAAAAAGTATCAAAATGTCGAAAAATTTAAAAATTTCCAAACTTGAAATATGGAAAGATTGAGAAATCGAAAAAATGAAAAATTGAGAAATCGAGAAATCTAAATGTCGAAAAAGTTTAAAAACCGAAAAATCAAGATGTCGAGAAATCGAAAAGTCGAAAATTGGAGAAATTGAAATAATAAAAAATTTAAGAAACGAGAAATTGAAATATCAAAAAATTGTAAAATTGGAAAATGTAACTTTTAAAAAATCGAAAAACTGAAAAATCGAGAAGATGAAATATCTCTAATTGAAATGTTGAAAAATTGGGAAATCGAAATACCTAAAATCGAGCAGTCGAACAATCGAGAAATTGAAACGTTGAAAAATATAAAGTTTAAAAAATCGAAAAATTGACCAAACGAAAAATCGAAATATCCAGAAATCGAAAAATCTCAAAACTGAAATATAAAAAAAATGAGAAATCTAATAGTTTAATAATAAAAAAAACGAAAAGTTGAAATATCGTACATTTAAAAAATCGAAAAATTGAAAAATCAAAAACCTGAAAACTTGAAAAATTGAATAATCGAAAATTGACAGGTCGAGAATCCATGAAATCGCGGAATGGAAAAAATTTAAAAATCGAAGTACAAAAATCGAGAAATCTAAAATTTGAAAAATCGAAAAATTGAAATATCAAAAAATCGTAAGATCGAAAGATAAAATTAGAAAATCGAAAAATGGAGAAATTCAAAAATCCCAAAATTGAAATGTCGAAAAATTGGGAAATCGAAACATCTAAAATCAAGAAGTCCAAAAATTGAGATATCCAGAAATTGAAACCTTTAAAAATTGTAAAAATTGAAGAACTAAAAATCGAGAAATCGAAAACTATAAAATTTAAAAAGTCGAAAAATTGAGGAATCGAAAAATTGAGAAATTGAAAAATGTAAAAATTAAAAAATCCAAAAATTGAATCGAAAAACTGACAAACCGAAAAGTCGAAGAACTGAAGAATCGAAAAATCTCAAAACTAAAAATTTAGGACCTGAAAACTTGGATAACTCAATAATCGAAAATCAAGAAACGAGAAAATCAAAAAATTGATCAATCTAGAAATCAAAAAATGGAAAAGTTACAGATTAAAAATTGAAAAATCGAAAAATCAAAACGTCGAAAAATCGAGAAATTGAAAAATCAAAAATTTAGAAAGCCCAAGAATTGGAAAATTGAAAAATTTAGAAGTCGGTAAATTAAAAAGTCGTAAAACTGAAATAACGGAAAACTGAGAAATAGACAAATTAAAAAATCCGGAAATCTAAAATTTGAAGTCCAGAAAAACTGAATAATTCAAAAACTGAAAAATCGAAAATCCTGAAGTTGATTAAACGAGAAATGGAGAAATTAAAAAATCGAAAATTGGTAAAATTGAAAAATCCCAAAACTCCAAATCGAAAAATTGAAAACTCCCAAAACTCCCAATCGAAAAGCGTGAAACTGAAAAGTCGAAAAACTCAAAAATCGAAAATTTAAAAACTCCAAAAATCGAGAAATCTAGAACTCGAAAAATCGAAACATCGAAAAGCCGAGAAAATGAGAATTGAAATAAAAAATTTAGAAGCGCCACGAACTGGGAAAATGAAAAAATTAAAAATTGAAAAAGTGAAAAATAATAAAACTGAAATGTCGGAAAATTCAGAAATAGACAAATTAAAAAACCGAGAGATCGAAAATTTGAAGAACGCAGAAATTGACGGATTGACAAATTGAAACATTCCAAAAGTGAAATAACGAAAAATTGAAGAATCAAAAATCTGAAAAATCCCAAAACTTATATCTCAAAAAATTGAAAAATTAAATGTTGAGTAATTCCAAATCGAAAAATCGAAAATGCGGAAAATCGAAAAGTGTAATTTTTTTTTTCCAAAAATTCGATATCTACGATAAAAATTCAACACGTATTAACAAACCATAAGTATGAACGGATAAATATAGCGATTTACCATGCTTCCGATGACCTTAAAACGTTTGCAATATTTCAGTGAAGTACAACATTCTCAACATTTTAGGAAAATGAACTAAACCGTTCTTGGTTTGATCAATAAAATCAATCCCCTGTATAAGAATTCTACATTAAAAGTACAACAGTTGGAATTTACAATCTTTCTTTAATAAAAATAAAAATTTCGGCGGTAATGGCTTATAAAGTACGGCGTTCGTCTTTCATAAATCACGGCCTCCTTTGTTCATAAAATACGGCGTTCAGAATGTATAAAATCGGACCCCATTACAATACTTTCCTAGGTTACTCTCGGGAAGTACCACCATGTAGAGTATTCCATTTAAAAAAGTAACTGCCGTTTCATTTCCCTCAAAGATCAGTTTAATAATACGAGTTATCAACATTTCAATTTTGTAGACAAATATTATTGACACAAGAACTAAAACTAAACAACACTTTTCAGATTCGTGTGTCAAACGTCAGAAGACGCAATTGTGATAGCAGCAACATTGTACAAATCCCTAATGGCACACATGAAATCGAAAGAAAAAAAACCCAAAAGTAGGAACGGAATCACGTGCATGTCAGCCGCATCAAGCACCTTTAACGAAAAATCGAGCATCACACCAGTACGACCACCAAGGAAGAAACGAAGTACCGCCAGTTCCATCACCAGTGAAAACGAAGCTTTGGATGTAAGTCCTGTGAAAGAAATATGCAATATCATCTCAAAATTTTTTCTTCAGACTTGCGAGACGCAGCCCCTCCTCCAGAAGAACCCCAAGAAGAGCACAAAATCCCGGCGTGCCCCGAAAACCCCCGAAGACTTCGACGCCATCTTGCCCTACGAAGAGCCCGTCAAACTCGAGCCCAAACCCGACGAACCGCCCCAAATCAAGCCGAAAACCTTCTCCGACAAAATCAACACCTTCATGAGCCGGGAGCAGAGGCAAATCACCGCCGAAATCAAGCAGGTGATGAGCGAGGGGACCAACAAGGGTCTGAAGCATGTGCCAAACGCGAGGAAAGTCGAGGAGGAGAACACGTTGAGGACGAAGGAGAATTCGGGAGACATTCTGACGAAAGTGACGATACCGAGATCGGGCAGTTTTCTCAACGCCGGTGGCTTGACGCGCTACAAGTCCAAGGTTTCAAGGTAAGAATCTCATTAGGAATTGAAATTACGACGTCGAGTTCACGAAGCAATTTAAGAAATCACGTTTCTTTGATGTTTTGTAATTACGGGCTTTGATATTGGGATTGGAGTTAGGGGAGGGGGATGGGAAGGGGATGCAATTTCCAATAGGCAAATATTTTGGGATGGTATTATTGAATGTTTAATGAAGTTAGATTGGGGAAGGAACGGATTTTCATTAGGGGTTGGGTTTATTAGCAGTAGTGGTCACAAGAACGATGTTCGATATGCATGAGATTAGTTAGATCTGTTTATTGGCCTTAAGTTATTTTTCAGACAAACACTGATCACAATGAAACCTTTATTCTCATTAACTCTTCCCACCTATAGTTCAAATAATTAACAGCCCAACAAAATCCGCTTCTTTGAAAAATCTTGAAATTTTGCAATTTTTCTTTTCGGTTTTTCATTTTTTTTTTATTTTTTCGATTTTTCGATTGTTCAATGGTCCGATTTTAAAATCGTTGTTTTCTCAATTTGACCTTTTTCCGAAATTTTTCGAATTTCTTCGAGTTTCCAGTTTTCATTTTCATATGATTTTAGAATTTTTTTGTTTTTCAATTGTTGTTTTCGACATTACAATTTTTCCATTTAACAATTTTTGGGCTTCCCAATTTTTCGATTCGATTCATTTTTACTTCTTTCCAATTTTTCCTTTTTCAATGTTTCAATTTTTCCAAATTTAACTAGTTTTTCAATTTTTAATTATTCGATTTTTCAACGTTTTTAAGCAAAAAGAAAAACCGAAATAGAGTGGAATGAAAATCTAAAAATTGAAAAATCGAAAGATTAAAAACTGAGACACTTAAAAATCGAAAAAATTGCAAAATGGACAAAACGAAATATTGTAAAATCGAAATATATGAAATTAAAAAACTCGAAAAATCGGATAATTGAGAAATCCAAGAAGTGCAAAACTGAGAAATTTTAAAAATTAAATCGAGGAAATTCAAAATCAAACATTGAAAATTTGAAAACCGAATAAACGAAAAATTATAAAAATGATAGAAACAATGGAAAAATAAAAGAAATTAAATAAATTGAAAATCGAAGAACTGAAAAAAACCGAAAAAGTGAAAACTAGAGAAATCGGAACATAAAAAAAAAGGATTGATTAAAGAATCCAAAAATTGCAAATTCCACAACTAAATCATCAAAAACTTAAGAAATCGAAAATCTGAAAAATCAAAAAAACGAAAAGTTGAAAAAACGAAAATTTAAAAAATTGAAAAATCAAAAACATGAAATATCAAAAAATCTGGAAATCTAGAAGTTGGGAAAATCGGAAAATCTAAAAATCGAACCTTCGAAAAATTGAAAAATCTAGAAACAGAGAAGATGAAAAATCGAAACGTCGAAGAATCGATAAACTGGAAAAACGAAAAACTAAAAAATTAAAAAATCACAAAATCAATAATTGAAAAATAAAAAAATCGAAGATACTAAAGAATTGAAAAAACGAATACTTAAAAGAATCGAAAAATTGAAAAATCAAATACCAGAAAAACTAAAAAATTGACGATTTAAAAAACTAAAAAATTGATAGCTCAAAAAAGGAGAAATCGGGAAATCGAAAAATTCAAAAATCGATTAATCAAGAAATCGAAAAGTCGAAAAATCGAAGAGAAATTAAAGAATCGAAAAACTGAAAAATCGCAGAATTGAAATCGAAACATCAAAAAATCGATAAATTGGAAAATCGGAAAAATTGAAAAATCTAAAAATCAAAGAGAAATTAAAGAATCGAAACATTGAAAAATCCCAAAACTCAAACATGGAAAAAGTACGAAAAAAAAAACTGAGCAATCAAACTTCAGAAATGAAATCGAAACACTGAAAAATCAAAAAATCGATAAATTGAAAAATCGAAAAATCAAAGAAAAATTGAAAAATCCCTAAACTAAAATTTGGAAAAAATCAGAAATCCAAAAATTTAAGAATAGAAAAATCGAAAGTTTAAAAAATTGAAAAATCAAAAACCTGAAAAACTGAAAAATTGACGATTTCAAAAACTAGAAAATTGAAAGAAGTTGAAAAAAGAAAAACCAATTAATCGCGAAATCGAAAACTTGAAAATTCGAAGGAAAATTGAAGAATGGGAAAACTGAAAAATCACAAAACTGAAAACCGAGATGTCAAAAAATCGAAAAATCGAGATTTAAAAAAACCGAATTATCGAAGAATTGCAATATCGAAAATCAAAGAATTATAATATCCAAAAATTGAAAATATTAAAAAATTGAAAAATTTCCACAACTGAAATGTTGAGAAATTGAGAAAACCAGAACTTAAAAAATCGAGATATTGAAATCTAGAGAAGTCGAAAAATTTTAAAAATCGAAGAAAAGGGATGTCAAGAAATCTAAAATCCGAAAAACTGAAAAATCAAAAACCGAAAATAAAAAAATCGTAAATCGAGAAATTGGAAAATCGAGGAATGGGAAAATCGGGTAATCTAAAAATCTAAACCTTGGAAAATCTAAAAAGAAAAATAATTTAAAAAGTCGATAAATTGAATCGAAAAAAGAAAAAATTCAGAAATAGAAAAAAGAAAAAATTGAAAAATCGAAAAATTGAAGAATCGAAATATTGAAAAATCCCAAAACTGAAATAAATCCACATTCGGAAATCGAAAAATCAAAGAAAAATTAAAGAATCGAAAAATTGAAAAATCCAAAAAACTGAAACATGGAAAAATTAAGAAATCAAAAAATCGATAATTGAAAAACCGAAAAAATCGAAAACTCAAAAAATCGAAAAATCGATCATTTAAAAAATCTAAAAATGGAAGAATCAAAAAAATAAAAAATGGAAAAATCGAAAAATTGACAAACTGAAAAATCGAGAAATCGGGAAAATGAGTAATTTTAACTTCGAAAAGTCAGGAAATCGAAATAATGGAAAAATCAAAAAACTTGAAGAATCGAAAAACTGAAAAATCCCAATACTGAGATCGAAACATCGAAAAGTCGATAAACTAGAAAAATCAAAAAATCAAAAACTGAAATATCAAAGAAAAATTAAATAATCGAATAAATGAATAATCCCAAAACTGAATCATGGAAAAGTGAAGAAATCGAAAAATCGAAGATATGAATTGGGTTATTGAAAAATCGAAAATTTAAAAGATCCAAAAATTGAAAAATCAAAAACCTGAAAAATTGAAAAATTGACCATTTAAAAAACTGAAAAATTGAAAGGTCGAGAAATCGAGAATTTGAAAAATGGAAAAATCGACAACTGCAAAAATAGAAAAAATGAAAAATTGAAAAATAGAAAAATCAAAGAACTGAAAAATTGAGAAACCGAGAACTTTAGAAATAGGAATATCAAAAAATCGAAAAAAAAAAAGATTGATTAAAGAATCGGAAAATTGAAAATCCCAAAACTAAATCAACAAAAACATTGAAAAATCGAAAAACTGAAAAATCAAAAATCGAAAAAAAGAAAATCTAAAAAATTGAAAAATCAAAAAACCCGAAATCGAGAAATTGAAAATTTCAAAATCGAAACGTCAAAAAATGGAAAGACCAAAAAATAGTATAAAAAATCGAAAAAAGGAAAAATTGAAAAACTGAAAAACTGAAAAATCGAGAAATCAAAAAGATGAAAAATCATAACTTCGAAAAGTCGGGGAATCGAAAAATGGAAACATCAAAAAACTTAAGAATCGAATACTGAAAAACCCCAAAACTGAAATCAAAACATGGAAAAATTAAAAAATCGAAACATCAAAGAAAAATGGGACATCGAAAAATTCAGAAATCCAAAAATTGAAAAATCAAAAAATTGATCAATTGAAAAATCGAAGATAACTGAAGAATTGAAAAAACGAATATTTAAATGATTCGAAAAATTGGAAAATCAAAAACCTGAAAAACTGAAAAATTGAAAGCTCAAAAAATGGAGAAATCGATTAATGAAGAAATCGAAAAATCGAAAAAAAATTAAAGAATCGAAAAATTGAAAAACCGCAAAACTTAAATCGAAAAATCGATAAATTGGAAAATCAAAAAATTGAAATATCGAAAAATCAAAGAAAAATTACAGAATCGAAAAATTGAAAAATCCCAAAACTGGAACTTGGAAAAATTCAGAAATCCAAAAATTGCGAAATTGAAAAATCGAATACAACTGAAGAATAGAAAAATTCAAAGTTTAAAAAATCGACAAATTGAAAAATCAAAAACCGGAAAAACTGAAAAATTGACGATTTGAAAAACTGGAAAATTGAAAGAAATTGAAAAATTGAAAAACCGATTAATCGAGAAATCGGAAACTGGAAAAATCGAAGAAAAATAGAAGAATTGAAAATTGAAAAATAACAAAACTGAAAATCGAAAAGTCAAAAAATCAAAAAATTGATAATTTAAAAAATCGAAAAATTGGAAAATCGAAAAACTGAATTATCGATCAATCGAAATGTCGAAAATCGAAGAATTAAAATATCCAAAAACTGAAAAAAATTAAAAAAATCCCACAATTGAATTGTTGAGAAATTAAAAAATCCTAATTCTTAAAAAATCGAGATATAGAAGTCTAGAGTAGTCGAAAAATTTTAAAAATCGAAAAACAAAGATGTCATGCAAGAAATGGAAAATTTGTAAATCTAAAAATTGAAAAAATTTAAAAATCTCAAAACTGAAACATAGAAATATTAAGAAATCGAAAAATTGGAAAAGTCAAAAAATCGATAAATTGAAAAATCGAGAAATCGAAAAGCTGGAAAACTGCTGATTTAAAAAACTCAAAAATTGGAAGGTCGAAAAATCGAGAAATCAAGAAGTCGAAAAATTGAAAAATCGATTAATCGAGAAATCGAAAACTAGAAAAATGAAAGAAAAACTAAAGAATCGAAAAATTGTAAAATCGCAAAACTGAAAACCGATGTCAAAAAATCGAAAATTCGATAATTTAAAAAATCGAAAAACGGAAAAATCGCAAAATGAAAAATTAAAAACCGAAAAATAGGAGAATTGAAAAACTGAAAGATCGAAAAATCAAATCGTGAAACTGAAGTCGAAAAATCGATTTTCGAGAAATTAACAAATCGAAAAACGAAAATTTAAATAAAAAAATTGAAAAACCGAAGCAAATTCCCACAATTTAAATGTTGCGAAATTGAGAAATCAAAAACTTAAAAAATCGAGACTTCGAAATCTCGAGAAGTCAAAAGATTTTAAAAATCGAACAATCGAAAATTCGGAAAATTGAAATATCAACAAATTAAAAAATTGGGAAATTGAAACATCAAAAAATCCTAAAATCGAAAAATGTAAAATACAAAAATTCGAAAAATTAAAGAATCAAAAAATTGAAAAATCGAGAAATTCAAAAATTCCAAACCGAATTGTCGAAAGAAACATTGACAAAATAAAGGAAATGAAAAAACGACAAATTGTGATATAAAATCGAGACAATGAAAATTTTAAAAATCGGGAAAATGAAAAATAAGAATCAGAAAATTGAAAAATTGAGGAAACGGAAAACGCGAATGAAAAAACCAAGAATTAAAAATTGAGAGACTGAAAAATCGAAAATTTAAAAATTGTAATATTGAAAATTTGCAAAATCGAAAAATTGTAAATCGAAAAATTGAAGAAACGAATAACTGAAAATTTTGGTAGTCGAGAAATTGAAAAAAATTGAAAAAAGTAAAGTTGAAAAAACGAAAAAGGATGAAAGTGAAACATTGAAAACCGGAAAAATTGAAAAAATCAAAAACCAAAAGTGGTGAATAGCGATCAGCAATAACAATGAACCCAAGTTTGTACCTTTAATGTACAGAAAGTTCTTCGGTGTAATAATAACTAATTAGTTTGCTGAAGTTTCAATTTTCAATCGTCCAAAATGTACTTTGAAATTCCTTTGAATTTTTTTTATCATTTCTTTTACATCTCTTGATGCCCAACCATACTATGATTTCCGAAGCACTATACCATGACTGACACTATTATAAATAAAAAACATATAAATCCTAAAAAAACACCTATCGGAATCATAAAAATAACATATTACTCTCGTTCCAGAGCCAACGGCCAAGCAACCGGAGGTTCCCCCCTCGGCTTCAACGAACTCTTCAACGAATTCCGCCTCCAAGAAGGCCTCCACTCCATGGACGAGATCCTCGGCGTCATCATCGACCCCGAAGGCATGTCCTTCAACGACCTCAAACCCATCTACAAGGAATTCCTCCTCAAGCTTTCCGTCACCCTCACGAAAGACGAGCTCTACCAGCGCTCCAAGATGATAATGCGCCGTCAAAAAAAGAAACTCCTCCGACGCACCAGCACCCTCCAGGCCAAACCCTCCCCCCACATCCTAGTTGGAAACAAATTCAAACGCCTCAAGCACATCTTCCAGAAAAACTTGAAACTCAAACTGAGTAAACCGAAGACTTCTCCGGTGGAAGCTCTTCAGGTACCCGAGTCCAAGTTGCCTGAAAGTAGTATTTCGACGTCGTCGTACGATACTCGGCAGTTTTCGCCGAAGGACGAGCAGCCGAAGAAGGCTTCGTATAGGAAGAAGTCGTCCGAAGTGAGTAGAAGGGATAGGATGAGTACTTCGGAAGAGAGCGATTTCTTCAGTTTGAGAAGAAAGGCGAAAAGTGTGAACATGGGGAATAGCAATCACCAGAACAGGAATTCGTCGAGTGGATACGTTTCCTGCTCTGAATGTTCGTACGACAGCGATACTTGTACTTGTATCTCAGCAGATAAGTGTTATTGTTCTTTAGGCAACAAGCATATTCCTAAGAAAACACACTGTGAATGCCATTTGGATAGTAATGTCACGTATTGTGGATGTGATACCGACAGTTGTACAGAAAGCAATAAGTGCTACTGTCAGAATATTTCTAGAGCTGCTAACGTCCAAGAACTGAGACGACGGAGTTTCGTCGAACAGAACAAACACAAGAAGTTGTGTCGGAAGTTGTCCAACTCACGCAGCACCAAAAGCCTGGAGTATATGCAAGGACCACTAGATGGCTACTACGAAAAAATCGGTTCCAAAGGCAACAGCAGAAGAAAAAAGAACATTAGTTCGCGCAGAGACTATGAACTTCTCGGTCTCCCAGTCAAAAACGCCTCTTATGCAGCCATTATGGCCGAAGGAATGCAAAAACAAGCGTCTCTACGCTCCTACGGTTCTTCAAGATACAGCGATCGAAGTAAGTATCCTTAAAACCTACTTTTATGTTTTTTCCCTATATCATGACCCCTAGAGTACGAAGAATAGGTTAGTTAATTATTTTAGGAATACCTGTAGATGGGACAACGCTATATAGTAATCCTTTCCATCTGATTTATAAATCAGTGTTCAGATTCTACCCTAAATATCGAGAAAAAAAATCAAAATTGTATAACATTTTGCAATTTAACTTTGAAGCTGCAATAACCAAATGCTCTGAAATCTTGTAAACATTTTAGGGTTATCGGAAACATGGACAATCATTAATCAAAATGTATTCGTTTATTCCCTTTTAAAAATTTGATGACGTCATCTAAAATTTTGCCGCATAAATCCTCTCTTTGAAATACGCACAATATTGAGATGAACATGATTATGAATAGTTTATCAAAAAAATTAAAATTGCAAAATCAAATTTTATAATTTTTCGAAAAATCTGGATTTATTTGTTTTCGACCAATGTTCTGATATCAAAATTTTTCGTTTTGTATTTTCTTTATTTTTCGGTTTTTCCATTTTTCAATGTTGCGGTTTCATAGTTTTTCGTTTTTTTTGACTTTAATTATTTCAATTTTTCAGTTTCTCAATTTTTCAAGTTCTTGACTTTTATTTTTCATTTTCCCGATTTTATATCACAAATTTTCGTTTTTTATTTCCTTTATTTTTTCAATGCTTCTATCGATTTCATAATTTTTCGTTTACCTATTCAATTTTTCAAATTTTCAATCTTTCATTTTTCAGTTCCTCGACTTTCCAAATTTTAACTATTCAATTTTACCATTTTTGGATTTCTCAGTTATCCAAATTTCCGATTTCTTTAATTTTATATTTCGATTTTTCAATTCTTTGAGTTCTTGATTTACATTTTTACATTTTTCAAAGTTTTCATTTTATACTTTTCGTTTTTTCTTTTTGATTTTCCAATTTTACAATTTTGCAATTTTTCCAGTTTTTTGATTAAAAAAGTGGAAAAAACATCGAAAAATCGAAAAACTGAACAAACAGGAAATTGCGAAATTGACAAAGTGGAAAATCGAAAAATTGCAAATCGAAGAACTGAGGAAACGAAAATTAAGACATTGAAAAACTAAAAATAAAAAAAAAATATGAATCGAAAAATTGGACAGTCCAAGAACTGTGAAAGATAAAAATTGTAGAATCGTCACAGTTGTAAATTCGAAAACAATAACACTGAAAGATCGAAAAATTAAAAATCGAATAAATTAAAAGTTTTAAAATCCAGTGAAAAATGTAAAAATTAAGTGGTGACTGAAAAATCTCAAAAATGAAAAAAATAAGAAAATAAAGACCTGAAACGAAAAACTGCAAATCGAGAAATTGAAAAATGCCAAAACTGACACATGAAAAAATTAAGAAATCGAAAAATTCAAAAATCAAAAAATTAATAAATTGAAAAATGGAAAAATCCAAGATAACTGAAGATTAAAAATCGAAAATTTTGAAAGATCGAAAAATTGAAAAGTCAAAAACCTGAAAAAATGACGATTTAAAAAACATTGAAAGGTTGAGACATAGAGAAGTGGAAACATTGAAAAAGCAATTAATCGGGGAAACGAAAACTTGAAAAAGCGAAGAAAAACTGAAGAATCGAAAAACTGAAGAATCGAAAAATTGAAAAATTTGCAAAATTGAAAATCGAAAAGTCAAAAAATCGAAAAATCCACAATTAAAAAATTGAAATAACGAAAAATTGAAAAACCCAGGACTTGAACAATTCCCACAATTGAAATGTTGAGAAATTGAGAAATCTAAAACTAAAAAATTCGAGAATTCGGAATCTCCAGCAGTCAAAAAATTGAGAAATCGAAACATCAAATATAATTAAATAAAAGATTGATTAAAGAGTAGAAAAAGTGAAAATCCCAAAACTAGATAATCAAAAACTCGAAATCGAATAGAAATCAAAAAACTGGAAAATTAAAAAATCTAAAAACCGAAAACACGAAAATTTAAAAAACCTGAAAAATTAAAAAATCGAGATCTCGGGAAGTTGGGAAATCAAGGAATGGGAAAATAGGAAAACATAAAAATCGAAACATCGAAAATCCAAATCAAAAAAATCGATAATTTAAACACTCGATAAATTGAAAAATGGAAAAACGGAAAAATTGAAAAGTCAAAAAACTGAAGAACTGAAAAATCGAATCGAATCGAAAAATTGGCAAGTCCAAAAGCTGTAAAACAGAAAAATTGTAGACTCGTCCAAGTTGTAAAGTCGAAAACTAAGTTACATTGAAAAATTGAAAAATTAAAAATCGGAAAGTTAGATATTGAATAAATATAAAAAGTTTTAAAATCCAGCAATTGAAAAGTATAAAAATTCTAAAATCGTAGCTGAAAACTCTAAAAATTGAGAAAATTGAGAAAATAAAGACCCGAAACGAAAAATTGCAAATCGAAAAATTGGAAAATTGAAAAATCGGTAAACTGAAAAACCTAATATTGAAACAAAACGAAAAATTTTAAAATCTGAAAGTTGAAATACCGAAAAATTCAGATTCGAAAAACTGAAAAACGTAAAAATTAAAAAAATTAAGAAAATAAAAACCATAAACAAAAAATTGCAAATCGAAAAATCGAAGAAACGAAAAATGGGGAAACTAAAAAAAATGAAAACAGGAAAAAGTGAATCGAATCAAAAAATTGGAAAAATCAAAAACTGTAAAATCGAAAAATTAAGGAATCGTCAAAACTGCAACAATTAAAGATTCTTCAATTTTTCGAATTTTTAAATTTTGCATTTTTCGATTTTACGATTTTTTGATGATTTCACCAGTTTCCCAACTTTTTAATTTCCTAATATTTCAATTTTTCGAGTTATCGATTTCTTGACATTTCGTTTTTTCGATTTAAAAAATTGTTCGACATTTGATATTTCGATGTCTCGATTTTTTAAGTTTTCGATTTCTCAATATATCAACATTTCAACTGATATTTTTTGATTTCTACATTAATGGATTTTTCGACATTTCAATTTCTCTATTTGAGTTTTCGATTTTTTCATTTCTCGATTTCTCGACTTTTCGATGTTTCGATTTTTCGACGTCTCAATTTGTCGACATTCCAGTTTTTCAAGTTTTTGATTTTTCAATTTTTCAATCTTCTAAATCCTAGATTTTTCATGTTAAGTTATCTTCGATTTTTCGATTTTTCAATTTATCAATTTTTTGATTTTTTAATGTTAGAATTTCTTGATTTCTTAATTTTTCCATGTTCCAGTTTTGGGATTTTTCAATTTTTCGATCCAATAATTTTTTTTTGATCTTTCGATTTAAATTTTTTTTTCCATTTTCGATGTCTCGACTTTTCGACGTTTCAATTTTCCATCTTCTCGATTTCTCAATTTTTCAGTTCTTCACATTTTTTATTTTTCAATTTTCCCTCTTTTCGATTTTTCAATGTATCGATTTTTTTAACTTTTCGATTTTTCGACGTTTCTTTCGAATCTTTCGATTTTAAAATTTTTTAATTTTGGCGTTTTTGAAATTCGCTTTTTTCGATTTTGCACTTTTTCGATTTTTAAGTTTCTCAGTTTTTAATCTTCAGATTTTGCAATTTTTTCATTTTTTTGATTCGAAAAGTTGAAGTATCGAAAAATTGAAAATCTAAAAACTAAAAAATCGGAGAAATTTGTAAAATCAAAAAATTATAGAATCGTCAAAATTGTAAAGTCGAAAAATTGAAACAATGAAAGATCGAAAAATTGAAAAATTAAATATCGAGAAATTCAAAAATTAAAAATCGAATAAATGAAAAAGTTTTAAAATTAAATCATTGAAAATTGAAAAAGTTCTAAATCGTATAATTGAAAACGTGAACATTTTTAAAAATTATAGTTATTATTACATAATTAAAATGAAAACTAGAAAGCTTGCAAATCAAAAATTGCAGAAACGAAAAACTGAAAAATGGAGAAACTGAAAAATCTAAAATTTACAAACGAAAAACTAAAAAAACTAAAAGTTAAAAAACCGAAAAATGGAAAACCAAAAAATTACAAATCGAATAATTGAAAAATTCAAAAATTGAAAAATTTCACGTTGAAAAAAGAAAAAATTATAAAATGAGAACATTGAAAAACAGAAACATAAAAAAAATAAAGCGAAAAATTGCGAATCAATAAATTGAGTAAATGAAAAATCTAAAAGTTGAAAAATTAAAAATTGAAAACTCGTGAAACTGCGAATTGAAAAATTCCAAAATTTAAAAATTGAAACATCCAAAGGTTGGAAAATCTAAAAAATGATGAATCTAAAAATGAAATCTTGAAGAGTAAAATTGAAGAAACAGAAGAAATAAGAAAGACTGCAAAAATGCAAATCGAAATATTGAAGAAACAAAAACCTGAAAAATGGAGAAACTGTAAAATCTAAAATTGAAAAACGAAAAGCTAAAAAAAACAAAAATTGAAAAACTGAAAAATTGGGAACCTAAAAGTTGCAAATCGAAGATTTGAAAAATTTCACATTGAAAAAAGAAAAATTATAAAATGAAAACACTGAAAAACAGAAAAATTAAAGAATAAAAGGAATAAAAAACCGAAGCGAAAAATTGGAATCGATAAATTGAATACATAAAAAATCGAAAAATCGAAAAATTAAAAACTGAAAACTGGTGAAACTGCAAATAGAAAAAATCCAAAATTTAAAAATTGAAATATATAAAAGTTGGAAAATCTAAAAAGTGAAAAATTTAAAGATGAAATCTCGAAGAGTAAAATTAAAGAAACAAAAGCAAGAAGAAAAACTGAAAAAATCTAAATCGAAATACTGGAAATTCGAAAATTTTAAAAATAAAGAAAATAAAAACAGAAACGAAAAATTTCAAATCGAAAATTTGAAGAAATAAGAAATCAAGAACTAAGAAGAATCCCAATATTTTAAAATTAAAAACTGAAAGCACGAGAAACTTTAAAATGAAAAATTGAAGAATTCAAAAGTTGGAAAACTGAAAAACTGAAATATTTAAACCTGAAAACTTGAAAAATTCCAAAACGAAAAATTGAAGAGGTGTTTTGACTTTGTAGAAGTTATAAGAAAACAAAAATAGTAAAAAAAAAATAATTTTTCAAAGAAACGCGATTTGTTAGGCTATACTCCAGAGGCCAGGAAAGTCCTGTCAAATTCTTTTTCGTGAATAGACGTGATCAATTGAGTTCGTGGTATCGATCAGGTGCGTATTTAGGTTAATCGCAGATTTATATGGCGTCCTTGTTAATCGTCGCAGACGTGATTGTTTTGGTTCAAGTTACGGAATGTGGAGGCGGCCTTTGACACGTTCGTTGGATAAAATTGAGGCTGGAGCCTCGTCTCATACGCGCCAAATCATATTACCACACAAAGCACGAACTTTGACAACGTAATTAATTTGATTCCGACCCTGTTCTATTTTTTTTTCTTTGTGCGTTAAAGAGGACACTGCAATGGGGTTAGTAGGCGTAATAAACTTGGACTGTTTTGGTTTAATCAAAGATGGGTTAATGGGGGGAGGTAATTGAGTTAGAAATGAAGTTGGTAAGTGATGCACCTTAATGAATAAAAGGTTGGTAATTCAGTTTTCTCCAGAACTTTGCACAGAAAAGGCTCTTTGTACAATGACGTATTTGCTAAGCTAAAATTATTGTTAGTGATAAAATAATTTAAGATAATTTGCTTATTACACTAAAGAGTGTACAATATAGTGAAAAATAACGGACTCAATAGGGTGCCCTGGGATCTGGGTCGGTAATTTTTTGGTAAATACTTGGACTTGGATAGAATAACTGAAGTTGCATAGTTTAATCTGGTCCCATAACCTGTTATTACAACTATATTGAATGAAAATACAAAAGCTCCCCTCCCAAGCTAAAAACAGTAGCGTTTTATCTAGGACAGTATTTTTTACATATCAGGGATAAAATAAATGAGAAAAACGCGCAACTTTTTTGATATGAACGATCGACTGTGGTCCAGATTAACTGAGATATATTTAGTTGTTTGTTACATTTGTATAAAAATTCCGGGTTTCCGGACGAGTAAGCTGGTTGCTAGACGACGCGAAGTGAAGTCCAGCGATTTTAGGAGCTTTGAAAACCCTTTTTAGTCGGAATAAAACATATTTTTTCTTGTAGCTTTTAACTTAAAAATATTTGTTATAGGTGGACGAACTCTCCAATCAACGGCTATCTCCGGGGCCACCACGGAAGCCCTCTCCGTAAAAAAATCAGCAGAAATCGCAGCCCTCTTCACCGACATCAAACTGAGCCAAACCACCGACATCGCTCACATCACTCCCCGCAACTACGACATGGAGACCATTATATCGTCCAGAAACGCGTACAACAGACTAAAAACGCAAAATGCGGCGAATCGCGTCGACATCAAAGCGGTCGGCCACTACAGCCAGAAAATGATCCAGAACGGCCTCTATTCCCGGAACAACTCGAAAGCCAACATGTACAGTGCCAGAAATGGACTCTACACTATCCAGAGCCAATCCGACGAATCCAGGAGGTCGAGTTTGAGCGAGGAGAAACGGGACTACTTCGACTTGGAGAAGAAGAAGAACGTTAGCAGTAACCTGGAGAACTCGCTGGGTTATTTACCTTGAAACTTGTATTATAGGGAAGCGATACTTGCCATTTTATGCTGTCTTGGGAGCTGTCGGGTGGTTGCAGAAGCGGGGTTAAACGTTTTTAATTTTAAGTGCAATATGGATATGTGCAATATTGTTATTTATGTGCAATAATTTAAATAAAGATTTTATTCAGTCGTTTGAGTTGAGTATTGAATTGTGCGAGGATCGGGCTGATGGGAATTTCCGCTTTTACGAGTATGATTAGTGGCTGTTTGGAGGGTTAGTAGGGGTGTATTTATGGAAAACTGGAGCTAGTGGAGCGTTAAACTGTTCCGAAGTGGATTCTGGTATTTACGCGTTTGTGGGTCACGGCGATGAGTTCTATGTGTAATGTAGCTTATGAACGGTTTAAACATATTGTTGTTGTTAAGAAGAACATTTAAGTTTAATTTACTGGAAACTAGTAAATAGATTACAAGTTTATAATACATTTTTACGTTAAGTTGCTAACAGATTCACCAACAAAATCTTCTCAGCAAACTCTGTCTTAGTTGATAAAGGATCTGTTACATATTCATCAACGACTCCAGATGAGCTACAAATAAAACAACAAAGTCGCTGACGTCCTTCTGAAACTGTGTCCTATGTACAATTTTGGATCTCGGAATTTTTAATATACGGCAACTTTTTTTGGTATTCATGCCTTCAAAATGTTATATTTGCGCGTATTTTGTTTTTAATATTGTAAATAAGTAATAGCTAAACTAGCAAACACAATTTTGACACCCGCACATCGATAAGTCAACCGAAAAAATATTTTTTACTAAGAACTTATTTTGTTGACTAGAAAAATAAAAGAGCACCAGGAGGCAGTAAACTTCTTTTGTCTAGGATGGATTAAGCTGTTCGCAAACAAGGCATCATTAGAAATTGAAAACTTTGCCGAAAAAAAATTTCAATAACTCACATTCTTTGATGTCTTACAAATAACAAGATGTTCCATCATAGACACAATTGAGGATTTACTCAAAAGAAAAACGGAGAAAATGATTTGCGTAAACAGACGCATACATTGTGTATTTTAAAACCCGCGAAAAATAAAAAAAAATGCGTCAATCTGAAATTTCTAATCTCTTTTCTAGCAAGTACTAGCCCCGCCCATCCGCCCTTTCTTTTCTTAGATGGTATCTCATTAGCCAAAATCTGTCTTATCTTAGCAGGTATTAGCTCTCTAAGAAAATAAAGAGCAAGTGGGCGGAGCTAGTGCTTGCCAAGATAACGCTGATTTTGCCAAATAGCATACCATCGAAGAAATTAAAGGGTGGGTGGGCGGGGCTAATACTTGCCAAGACAAGACAGATTTTGCCAAATGATATACTCTCTACTCTTCATTTTCTTAGAGGGTTTATCATTTGGCAAAATTAGTCTTATCTTATTAAGTACCAGTCCCGTCCACTCGCCCCTCATTTTCTTAGAGAGTAGCTCATTTGCCAATATCAGCCTTAGCTTAGCAGGTACTAGGACCGCCCACCCACCCTATTTGCTTGTAGAGGATATGTCATTTACGAAAATCAGTTTTATCTTAGCAAATGCTAGAGGGGTCTCATTTTCCAAAATCAGTGTTTCTTAGCAGGTAGTAGTACCGCCCACCCACCCTCCTTTTTCTCAGAGGTCATTAGCCAAAATTAGTCTTATCTTAGCAAGAAAGTTAAATTTTTCAGTTTCCCCAATTCTCAATTTTTTGTTTCTTCATTTTCTGATTTGCAATTTTTCTAATTTTCAGTTTAAATGTGTAATAATAATTGCAATTATGTTACAGTTTTTAGACATTTTTCCATTTTACAGTTTTTGGGTTTTTCAATTTTTCGATTCGATCGTTCGATCTTCTGCTTGCAATTTTTGGATTTTCCAGTTTTTTGATTTTGCAATTTTCCGTTTTTTCAGTTTTTCGATTTTTCAATTTTTTACGATTTTTTAGTTTTTCCATTTATACTCTTTCATTTCGGTTTTTTTGTTTTTTTATTTCAATTACTCAAATTTTCGATAATCGATTTTATAATTTTTTCTTTTTTCAGCATTCATTTTTTCAATTTTTCGTTTCTTCAGCTTTTCAATTTACAATTTTTCGAGTTTTCAAGTTTAAATTTTTCAATTTTTAGATTTTGTGATTTGAGTTTCTCAAGTTTCCAATTTTTAGTTTTGCCATTACTCATTCAGGTTTTTTAATTTCTTTATTTTTTCAATTTTAAATTTTTCAATTTTTCGATTCTTTAATTTTTCATTTCTTCGAATTTTCAATTCGCAATTTTTTCGTTTTGGGTTTTTTATTTTTTTTTTTGTACAATTTTTGGATTTTTCAATGGTCCGTTATTTCACTTTTTTTTCGATTTTTCAATTTTTTACGATTTTTTAGTTTTTCCATTTGTAGTTTTTTGTTTCGGTTTTTTATTTTTTTTTATTTTTTCAATTATTCAAATTTTCGATAATCGATTTTATAATTTTTTCTTTTTTCAGCTGTCATTTTTTCAATTTTTTGTTTCTTCAGCTTTTCAATTTACAATAATTGTAATTAAAAAAAAAATCAGTTTTTCGATGTTTCAATGTTACAGTTATTTCCATTTTCCAATTTTTGGGTTTTTCAATTTATCCATTCGATCTTTTTTCTTCTTTCCAATTTTTCAATTCATTTAAATTTCTCGATTTTTAGTTTTTGGCGTTTCAATTTTTCGTTCCTTCATTTCGTCTGTTTGCAATTTCTGGATTTTCCACTTTTTTGATTTTGCAGTTTTTCGTTTTTTCCAGTTTTTCAATTTTTCATTTCTTTCAGTTTTTCAATTTTTCATTTTTCAATTTTTCGGTTTGTAGTTTTTCCTTTCGGTTTTTAATTTTTTATTTTTTTTTCAATTCGATTTTTTGATTATCTATTTTATAATTTTTTATTTTTCCAGCATTAATTTTTTCAATTTTTCGTTTGTTCAGTTTTTCGATTTTCTAACTTTCAGATGTTTCAATTTTCATGTACTCCCTTTTTGATTTGCAATTTTTTGTTTTGATCTATTTTCTTTATTTTTTTTTAATTTTTCGGATTTTCATGTGAAATTTTTCAATTTTTCAATTTTTTGATTTGTAATTTTTCGGTTTTCAATTTTTCGTTTTTTCAACTTTTAGATTGTTTAATTTATCGTTTCTCCAATTTTTGATTTGCAATTTTTCTAGTTTTCATTTTAAATATGTATAATAATTATGATTAAAAAAAAATCAGTTTTTCTATTTTTCAATGTTACATAACTGTAACATTGTTCGATTTTACAATTTTTGGGTTTTTCAATTTTTCCATTCGATCGTTTTTTTTTTCTTTCCAGTTTTTCGATTCAATTAAATTTCTTAATTTAGTTTTTGGTGTTTCAATTTTTTGTTCCTTCAATTCTTCTATTTGCAATATCTGGATTTTCCACTTTTTTGATTTTGCAGTTTTCAGTTTTTCTATCTTTCAATATTACATAACTGTAACATTGTTCGATTTTATAATTTTTGGGGTTTTCAATTTTTCGATTCGATGGTTTTATCTTCTGCTTATAATTTTTGGATTTTCCACTTTATTGATTTTGCAATTTTCCGTTTTTCCAGTTTTTTGATTTTTAAATTTTTTCCGATTTTTTAGATTTTCGATTTGTAGTTTTTCATTTCGGTTTTTCATTTATTTTTATTTTTTCCATTATTCAAATTTTCGATAATCGATTTTATAATTTTTTCTTTTTTCAGCTGTCATTTTTTCAATTTTTTGTTTCTTCAGCTTTTCAATTTACAATATTTGGAGATTTCAAGTTTAAATTTTTTAATTTTTAGATTTTGTGATTTGAGTTTCTCAAGTTTCCAATTTTTAATTTTGCCATTATTCATTCAGGTTTTTTATTTTCTTTATTTTTTCAATTTTAAATTTTTCAATTTTTTATTTCTTCAATTTTTACATTTTGCAATTTTTATATTTAAAATTTCTCGAGTTTTCAATTTTTCTATTCTTTAATTTTTCATTTCTCCAAATTTTCAATTTTCATTTTTCCGATTTGGAGTTTTTATTTTCTTTATTTTTAAAATTTTTTGATTTTTCGCTATTTCTTAGAGTTTTCATTTTAAAATTTTTCAGTTTTTCGATTTTCTAACTTTAGATTAGATGTTTCAGTTTTTATGTATTCACTTTTTGATTTGCAATTTTTTGTTTTGGTTTTTTCTTTCTTTTATTTTTTTCAATTTTTCGGATGTTGAAGGCTCTGATTTTATAATTTTTTGATTTGTAATTTTTCAGTTTACAATTTTTCGTTTTTTCAACTTTTAAATTGTTTAATTTATCGTTTCTCCAATTTTTGATTTGCAATTTTTCCGGTTTTCATTTTAAATATGTAATACTAATTACAATTCTAAAAAAAAATTCAGTTGTTCTATCTGTCAATGTTACAGTTATTTCGATTTTACAATTTTTGGTTTTTCAGTTTTTCCATTCGATCGTTTTTTCTTCGTTCCAATTTTTCGATACATTTAATTTTCTTGATTTTTAGTTTTTGGTGTTTCAATTTTTCGTTCCTTCAATTCTTCTATTTGCAATTTCTGGTTTTTCCAATTTTTGATTTTGCAGTTTTCCGCTTTTCAGTTTGTGAATTTTTCAATTTTTTCCGATTTTTTAGTTTTTCAATTTTTCGGTTTGTAATTTTTCGTTTCGGTTTTTTATTTTTTATTTTTTTTTCAATTCAATTTTTCGATTATCAATTTTATAATTTTTTATTTTTTCAGCATTAATTTTTTCAATGTTTCGTTTCTTCAGTTTTTCGATTTACCTTTTTCAATTTTTTATTTTTTTGTTACTTCAGTTTTTAGATTTAGCAATTTTTAGATTTTGTGATTTGATTTTCTCGAGTTTTCAATTTTTAATTTTCGCATTTTTCGTTCGGGTTTTTGTTTTCTTTATTTTTTCAATTTTTTCAGTTATCGATTTTGTAATTTTTTGTTCTTTCAATTTTCAATTTTTCGTTTCCTAAATTTTTACATTTTGCAATTTTTAGATTCAAAATTTCTCGAGTTTTGAATTTTTCATTTCTCCAAGTTTTTGTGTTTTGGGTATTTTATTTTCTTCATTTTTACAATTTTTGGATTTTTCAACGTTTCGTTATTTCACTTTTTTTCGAGTTTTCATTTTAA